ACCACTTTATACTATGAAAACTTTTGGTATACAAGAATAATAAGAATGAAAAATCCTATATTTTACATTAAAATTTTACAAAATATTCAATTAAACTCACATTCTGGATGATAAATATATTATTGAAGCACTACATGAAGGAAAATGTTCTTTCCAAGTATTACGATGCAAAAGAATACACTTTTTTTTCTTAAAGATACTTTCAGACTTATATTCCATTTTTCGACCCCTATGCTGTAATTAGGTTAATTAATTATCTAAATACTTATTCAAAGTAATAAAGGGAGTGAAAAAAGTTAAAATAGCAGCATAAATCTGGTAGCACTTCCGAAACAAAAGTTATGAGGGGGCGGGCTCCTATGTAATTTTAACATAGCTGGAAATAGTCCATTTCAACAATCTTCTTCTTCAGACCCAGATATGTTGGAATCAAATACTTTTTCTTTGATGGAAAGGTCTTAAGGTGCTTTATTGAAATTGTGAATTTCATTACCCCTAGGCAATACATAATTTTGTGATGTCATAGTGTTGTTATGATGTGACAAAAACAAACAGTACATATAAGCCAAATATGGCCTTTTGACCGTTAAGGCTTAAGGGGCTCTTGTTTAATCTGAAATTATTATTTCTCCCTTTCAACTTAGGTAAACAGTACAGATTTCCCTGGTGCTTACAATGGATATGATGATACTTGGAACCAAAGAAAATTTGAAAAGGTACACTTCTGTTTATCATGATAGAAATGATCCCCAAACAGTAGTTATTTTTGGCTTTTTGGGGATTCCCACAGCCAATAACAGGATGTCATTACTATAGAAATCACTTCATTTTTGCAACAGAAAAAAACGAATGTTTTATTTTTGAGGACTTATCATCAATTAGAATTTACTGTAAATATTGATTCTGTAGACAATTACTATCAACTTTGGAAAATCATCCACTCCAATGCAAATACAAGTACTATGCGAATAAAACCTACAGGAACACTTTGTGAAATAAAGTATATGCAAAAATAAAGTGATTTACCATGTTCTAAATCTAGTCTTTCTAATTGTTTTACATTGACAGGTTCTGACACTCTAAAGCTTATCTTACCTTTGTGTAGTGAGCTTTTGACAGGTATGTTATGCCATTCCGCAGCTTCGTCGTCCGTTCGTCAACTTTTCCTTTAAAACGCTACTAGTCCTGAATGGCCAAGTAGATTTTGACTAAATTTGGTCTGGAGGATCCTTGGGCCAAGGAGACTCAATTTTGTATAAACAGTGGGTGTGGCCCTCCTGGGGGCAGAGGGGCGGGCTCAATAGGGGAAATAGAGGTAAAACCTTCAAAATCCTTCTTCTACCATAGGGATAAAGGGATTTTTTCCTTATTTAGTCTGGAGCATCCTTGGGCCAAGGGGACTCAATTTTGTATAAACAGTGGGTGTGGCCCTCCTGGGGGCAGAGGGGCAGGCTCAATAGGGGAAATAGAGGTAAAACCTTCAAAATCCTTCTTCTACCATAGGGATAAAGGGATTTTTTCCTTATTTAGTCTGGAGCATCCTTGGGCCAAGGGGACTCAATTTTGTATAAACAGTGGGTGTGGCCCTCCTGGGGGCAGAGGGGCAGGCTCAATAGGGGAAATAGAGGTAAAACCTTCAAAATCCTTCTTCTACCATAGGGATAAAGGGATTTTTTCCTTATTTAGTCTGGAGCATCCTTTGGCCAAGGGGACACAATTTTGTATAAACGGTGGGTGTGGCTCCCCTGGGCCACTTGTTTATTTCACTGATCATGATAAACTTGAAAGACTGTAGTTTTGATTAATAGTTTTAAAACTGTCCAAACTATGAATATTCTTCATTCAAATTAATACATGTCCACTTTTGTAGAATTTTCGTGTTGACGTGGTTAAGATGGGAGATGATGAACTGGAGTTTGACATGATCGGTATTGACGCTGCCATTGCGAATGCTTTCCGCAGAATTCTATTATCTGAGGTAAGGATATCAAAGAATGTCAAATTAAATAATGATTTCCACAGAATTCTATTATCTGAGGTAAGGATATCAAAGAATGTCAAATTAAATAATGATTTCCGCAGAATTCTATTATCTGAGGTAAGGATATCAAAGAATGTCAAATTAAATAATGATTTCCGCAGAATTCTATTATCTGAGGTAAGGATATCAAAGAATGTCAAATTAAATAATGATTTCCGCAGAATTCTATTATCTGAGGTAAGGATATCAAAGAATGTCAAATTAAATAATGATTTCCGCAGAATTCTATTATCTGAGGTAAGGATATCAAAGAATGTCAAATTAAATAATGATTTCCGCAGAATTCTATTATCTGAGGTAAGGATATCAAAGAATGTCAAATTAAATAATGATTTCCGCAGAATTCTATTATCTGAGGTAAGGATATCAAAGAATGTCAAATTAAATAATGATTTCCGCAGAATTCTATTATCTGAGGTAAGGATATCAAAGAATGTCAAATTAAATAATGATTTCCGCAGAATTCTATTATCTGAGGTAAGGATATCAAAGAATGTCAAATTAAATAATGATTTCCGCAGAATTCTATTATCTGAGGTAAGGATATCAAAGAATGTCAAATTAAATAATGATTTCCGCAGAATTCTATTATCTGAGGTAAGGATATCAAAGAATGTCAAATTAAATAATGATTTCCGCAGAATTCTATTATCTGAGGTAAGGATATCAAAGAATGTCAAATTAAATAATGATTTCCGCAGAATTCTATTATCTGAGGTAAGGATATCAAAGAATGTCAAATTAAATAATGATTTCCGCAGAATTCTATTATCTGAGGTAAGGATATCAAAGAATGTCAAATTAAATAATGATTTCCGCAGAATTCTATTATCTGAGGTAAGGATATCAAAGAATGTCAAATTAAATAATGATTTCCGCAGAATTCTATTATCTGAGGTAAGGATATCAAAGAATGTCAAATTAAATAATGATTTCCGCAGAATTCTATTATCTGAGGTAAGGATATCAAAGAATGTCAAATTAAATAATGATTTCCGCAGAATTCTATTATCTGAGGTAAGGATATCAAAGAATGTCAAATTAAATAATGATTTCCGCAGAATTCTATTATCTGAGGTAAGGATATCAAAGAATGTCAAATTAAATAATGATTTCCGCAGAATTCTATTATCTGAGGTAAGGATATCAAAGAATGTCAAATTAAATAATGATTTCCGCAGAATTCTATTATCTGAGGTAAGGATATCAAAGAATGTCAAATTAAATAATGATTTCCGCAGAATTCTATTATCTGAGGTAAGGATATCAAAGAATGTCAAATTAAATAATGATTTCCGCAGAATTCTATTATCTGAGGTAAGGATATCAAAGAATGTCAAATTAAATAATGATTTCCGCAGAATTCTATTATCTGAGGTAAGGATATCAAAGAATGTCAAATTAAATAATGATTTCCGCAGAATTCTATTATCTGAGGTAAGGATATCAAAGAATGTCAAATTAAATAATGATTTCCGCAGAATTCTATTATCTGAGGTAAGGATATCAAAGAATGTCAAATTAAATAATGATTTCCGCAGAATTCTATTATCTGAGGTAAGGATATCAAAGAATGTCAAATTAAATAATGATTTCCGCAGAATTCTATTATCTGAGGTAAGGATATCAAAGAATGTCAAATTAAATAATGATTTCCGCAGAATTCTATTATCTGAGGTAAGGATATCAAAGAATGTCAAATTAAATAATGATTTCCGCAGAATTCTATTATCTGAGGTAAGGATATCAAAGAATGTCAAATTAAATAATGATTTCCGCAGAATTCTATTATCTGAGGTAAGGATATCAAAGAATGTCAAATTAAATAATGATTTCCGCAGAATTCTATTATCTGAGGTAAGGATATCAAAGAATGTCAAATTAAATAATGATTTCCGCAGAATTCTATTATCTGAGGTAAGGATATCAAAGAATGTCAAATTAAATAATGATTTCCGCAGAATTCTATTATCTGAGGTAAGGATATCAAAGAATGTCAAATTAAATAATGATTTCCGCAGAATTCTATTATCTGAGGTAAGGATATCAATGAATGTCAAATTAAATAATGATTTCCGCAGAATTCTATTATCTGAGGTAAGGATATCAATGAATGTCAAATTAAATAATGATTTCCGCAGAATTCAATTATCTGAGGTAAGGATATCAATGAATGTCAAATTAAATAGTTGTTTTGACTTTTTAAACTTTTGTTATCAGTAGCAAATCAATATTTTTCAGTATTTAATCAGGTATATACATACTGAACTTTGTGACGAGAGAATAAGGAGTTTCTCTGCTTCTTTATTTTCTTTTTATCATTTTTACTGTGACGTATGTTTATTTTCATATTTATGCTTATGCCAATATTTTGTTTAGTTTGATATATTTCTCTGATGGATTCTAATGTAATATGGTAATAGTGACCATTTTGAAATGTACCTGAACCAGCTATCACTACCTTATAGGTCACTCAGTATACTCGAGTGTCAGATATCCAAAACGTGTTGATTGCTTCTGAAGTGTAAGGGGTCCTAACTCTTAGAGTGTTTCTGTAGACTACAGTCAGACCACTCATGTTCAGCGTATGAGTATTCTTACCAGGGAAGATTTCAACACTGCCCATGATATGTTTGAAAACAATTTTTTATCTACTTTACCTCTTGTAGCTGATGATTCTTATCAAAGATATGTTTAAAGCTTGTTACTGTCCAATCAGGACCATGTTGAAACTTCAACTTAACAAAGTACATTTTAGAACTAGATTTTATGATAGACTTGAAATACATAGCCATAAACTGTCACAGAATCTTAAGTCATTACCAAGGTTTACAAGATGTCTGAGTTTTGTTTTAACTAATAATGCTCACCCAATTGGCTTGAATTGACATCATCTTTACCTTTTTTAACTGCTTACTGTTTTTTATGGACACATTTTACATTATGACTAGCATTATACATTAATGAACGGATATATGTATCTTCTATTAAAAAAAGTTCATACATTGACTTTAAAAACAAACTAGATCACTAACTATAGGGGAAAATAGAAAACACATATACAGTTTGCCTTGTCTACGCAAGATATTAAGTTACAAGATTGAACAAGTGAGTGTAAAGTTGTTATTGTAAGGTATTTTTGTAATGTTGAATCCCCCCCCCCCCAAAAAATAAAAAAGGATAATATTTTAACTTGACTAAAAGGTAGTTGTTTTGTCGTAGGTGCCAACCATGGCCATAGAGAAGGTGTACATCTACAACAACACTTCCATCATACAGGACGAGGTCCTGTCTCACAGACTAGGGCTCATCCCCATCAAGGCCGACCCTCGCCTGTTTGAATACAGATCTGATGGTGAATATCACTCGCATGGGTATCTCATTCTCCTGTAGCCATATAACCCTTCATTACCAGTATGCTGTTCTTCTGGTCCAAATTTGACCTTATTTCCTCTATAGATCATTATACATTAATTGTACATTTTCTGAAGGTGAAGTCATTATACAAACCAGAGTATAATATCTGGGTAGAGATTTGTCTGTGTGACTCCTGGAAAGATCAGCGTTTTCCTGAGAACAGCTAATCTCATAGATTGGTGCTTCATACATGCTACAAACATCTACAGCATTACAAGGTCAGAAATGGAGAAGGTTAAAATGGTAAATTTCTTGTTTAATATTGCTGTTTCTATATTAAGTATTACTATCATAAGAGGAACTCGATAATTGAGCACAATCATTTTGAGGACAATAATAATGATATTTACAGGTGACACTGAAGGGACAGCAGAGGACACTATCGAGTTCCAGCTCAAGGTCAAGTGTACTAAAAATAGCCATGCCAAGGACACCACAGACCCCGACGAACTCTACAAGGACCACAAAGGTAAGCTCATCCTGAAGGTAAAACACTTAGTGTCATCCTATTACACTTAAACCTAATGTATAGAAACACATCACAAGTTATTTAAATACAAGGTAATCTCATCCTGAAGGTAAAACACTTAGTGTCATCCTCTTACTCTTAAACCTAATGTATAGAAACACATCACAAGTTATTTAAATACAAGGTAATCTCATCCTGAAGGTAAAACACTTAGTGTCATCCTATTACACTTAAACCTAATGTATAGAAACACATGACAAGTTATTTAAATACAAGGTAAGCTCATCCTGAAGGTAAAACACTTAGTGTCATCCTGTTACACTTAAACCTAATGTATAGAAACACAGAACAAGTTATTAAAATACAAGGTAAGCTCATCCTGAAGGTAAAACACTTAGTGTCATCCTCTTACTCTTAAACCTAATGTATAGAAACACATCACAAGTTATTTAAATACAAGGTAAGCTAATCCTGAAGGTAAAACACTTAGTGTCATCCTATAACACTTAAACCTAATGTATAGAAACACATCACAAGTTATTAAAATACAAGGTAAGCTTATCCTGAAGGTAAAACACTAAGTGTCATCCTGTTACACTTAAACCTAATGTATAGAAACACAGAACAAGTTATTAAAATACAAGGTAAGCTCATCCTGAAGGTTAAAACACTTAGTGTCATCCTATTACACTTAAACCTAATGCATAGAAACACATCACAAGTTATTAAAATACAAGGTAAGCTTATCCTGAAGGTAAAACACTTAGTGTCATCCTGTTACACTTAAACCTAATGTATAGAAACACATAACAAGTTATTAAAATACAAGGTAAGCTCATCCTGAAGGTAAAACACTTGGTGTCATCCTATTACACTTAAACCTAATGTATAGAAACACATGACAAGTTATTTAAATACAAGGTAAGCTCATCCTGAAGGTAAAACACTTAGTGTCATCCTCTTACTCTTAAACCTAATGTATAGAAACACATCACAAGTTATTTAAATACAAGGTAAGCTAATCCTGAAGGTAAAACACTTAGTGTCATCCTATAACACTTAAACCTAATGTATAGAAACACATCACAAGTTATTAAAATACAAGGTTAGCTCACTGTGTTCATTTATGGTTCTCCTTAAAGGAATTGTGTATTTTCTTTGTCCATCATAGTAATCTGTGTTATAACACCAGTTGACTTGGTGCTACAGTGATCAAACTCTTTCTAGGGTTTAAAATAGAGATGGGATATTTAGGATTATATTTAGTTCTAATTTTATTTTCTATTTGCTACAATATGCATATTTGTTGTTGAGCGAAGTCATAAGTGATAGAGGACCTAGAAATAAGGGTTCTATTAAGCTCCCTAGAATTGTATGGAAGGTGTTGTCCATTGTAAGATATTTTGCTAGAGCAGTATAAGTTGAAACACATTAAATAGAATTTCTATTCTGTTTCATTATTAAAAACAAAGTAAGTAGTTTAATTTCAGCTTTGGACACTCGGTGAAATTATTTTAATTTTATTTTTTTGTCCAGTTACAACAAAGCATTTCAAATGGATTCCTGTAGGGAAGCAATCAGAAATTGTAAGTATTGTAATAGATGGGAAAACATATCTGCTCTTTCATTGACAAACTGCATAATTTAACTTTGTGGTATAATATATTCTGAAATGGATTGACGTTCAACAACATAAACGGAGAGTTGCATTTTACAACACTTAATTTGAAAGTGAACTTCTGAATTAAATAATGTAAATGATTATTTTTCCATCAGCTTTGAGATTGTATTACAAGTGACTTATTCAGATGTTGCTGAATCATTGTACCTGCGATATCACCTCACATATAACAGAAAGATTTTAAAACATGCAGAATGTAATCGATTTAGAAATAAAAAAATAATGATAGTTATGACAACAAAAAAGAAAATGGTTGTAAGGATATGTTTTTAGGTCACCTGAGACAAAGTCTCAAGTGACCTATTGCGATCGCCTTTTGTCCGTCGTGCGTCGTAAACAATTTACATTTTCGACTTCTTCTCCAAAACCCCTGAACCAATTTCAATGAAATTTTGCAGAAACCTTCCAAGGCCAAAGGTCAACAAAACTAGTGGAGGATATGGTCCCAAGCCCCCAGTGGCCTAAGGGGCGGGGCAAAAAAGGGTCAAATTGACTAACATTTCAAAAATCTTCTTCTCAAGACCCAGATATGGTAGAAACAAATACTCTTCATAGATGGAAGGGTCTTAAGGTGCTTTTCCAAAATTGTGAATTTCTTGACCCTGGGGTCTCACGTTTCCCCCTGGGGAGGGGGTAAACTTTACTTTAGTTTATATATAGGAAAATCACATTTTGGACCAACATTTGTTTAATTTCCATTGGAAGTAATTCAATTTGGGTTAGCATTATCAGTATTGGGTAGCAGTTTGATGGTATGCACATATCAGCCCTGACTGACCCCCAGGGGCTGATGGACGGAGCCGAAAAGGGTTGAATTGACTGAAATTTCAAAATCTTCTTCTCAAGACCCAGATATGGTAGAAACAAATACTCTTCATAGATGGAAGGGTCTTAAGGTGCTTTTCCAAAATTGTGAATTTCTTGACCCTGGGGTCTCACGTTTCCCCCTGGGGAGGGGGTAAACTTTACTTTAGTTTATATATAGGGAAATCACATTTTGGACCAACATTTGTTTAATTTCCATTGGAAGTAATTCAATTTGGGTTAGCATTATCAGTATTGGATAGCAGTTTGATGGTATGCACATATCAGCCCTGACTGACCCCCAGGGGCTGATGGACGGAGCCGAAAAGGGTTGAATTGACTGAAATTTCAAAATCTTCTTCTCAAGACCCAGATATGGTAGAATCAAATACTCTTCATAGATGGAAGGGTTTTAAGGTGCTCTACCAAATTTTATGACCCTAGGGTCTCACGTTTACCTCTGGAGAGGGGGGGGGGGGGCAAGCTTTATTATGGCAAATGATACTTTGAATATTACATGTTGATAACTTAATTGGAATTTTAACCCTGAGTTGACCGTTTGATACTTTGAAAATTTTGAACCCGCTCTACCCCCAAGGCCGCCCAAAGGAGTCAGTGTGCTAAAATGTCTTCATTTTCCTTGTTTAGAATCAGAGGTGCTAGTTTCAAATACTTTTCAGTCTTAAATCTGTGTGCTAGATATTGAATAAGGTTGTTTCATTGTTTTTTTTGTCACTTTGAATAATACTTCTGTTCATGTTTTAAAAACAAAAATCAACTCTCTGTATAAATATATCAGAACTCGGGTGACTGTTAAGGCCCATGGGCCTCTTGTTTATGATTATTCTAGCTAGGAAGTACCATTACATTGCTAATAGTTATTTCAGATGATATATATCAAATCTAACAATCCTAGCAACTACATAGGTGTGTCAACAATTTGGTGAGATGTTAAGCTTTCTCTACACTTACAGTTCAAAGAAGGTGACATACGTCCGGTGAATGATGATATCCTGATAGCCAAGTTACGGCCCGGACAGGTAGGTCTAAAACAAAATTCAAAAAATAACTGTTTTTAATAGGGCAGCTTAAAGGGGCTATTTAGTCAAATAAACCCCTTATAACCTATTAGATAGTGAAAATATCTACCTCCTAACCAAACTGTATGTAGTTGATAATGACATGCGTCCAGTCATCAGTTGTTCTTTTGGGAAACAGTGATAAATATAGCCACAACCGAACTAGCGCAATATCTGGGCCTTTCAATGAGAAGTAAACATGTACAGTACCACGCTGTCGACCGACAACACAGTGTCAGTGAGTGTGATTTCACATATTACCCATGTTTGTTGCTTTGAATTTACACGATACATCCCAAGCAAGTATTATAAATATTTTTTATATAAATCTAATATAAATCTTTACTGTTGGATTTGAATAAAAAGAAACTGTTTAAATTAGAGCACACATGCAAGAGGGTATTGAAGGGATAATTTCAAACCGCACAAAGTACAATATGAGTAGGTTTAAACGTAAAATAAATTATTCATAGCAATGATTGAGATGTTGTTTACTTTGAATTAACTGTATTCGAAAGAAGTTAGCTGAATAAAGCTAAAATTTACCTATTCCCCTCGGCTGGAAAGACCAATTTGTTAGCTAGAAGTTCACGGACAGCTGCCGCTAAAACATATGGTTGTACAGAAAGATTTCTTCATTACAGATAAAAATTGCCAAAAAACATTGCCTCTTGTCAGTTGTAGACTACAGATTAACTAGACTAGTACTGTCTGTTGAGTCAAAAGGAATTGTCTGAAGTCAGTACAAAGTGTTCAAATAAAAACGTAGGACATCAATCGATAATAAAAAAGAATGTCACATTACTAATACAATGAAGAAAACTTGATGATCTTTTGAAGGAGCTGGATCTAAAACTTCGGTGTGTAAAAGGACTAGGAAAGGATCATGCAAAATTTTCTCCTGTTGGTAAGTCTGTCACATAGAGACATTTTTTCTAGTTATTAAAATGTGTCTGTAAAGACATTTATTTGTAACTATTTTCCTTCAAGAAAGAGAGTCTGAACAGTTTTTAGGTCACCTGAGCTTTAGCTCAAGTGACCTATTGCTATCCGTTTTCGTCCGTCGTCGTCCGTCGTCCGTTAACATTTTACATTTCAAACTTAAAGTCAAGTTCTGCTGGGCCGATTGAACTGAAAGTTGGTAGGAATGATCGCCTCATGGTCCTGACAAAGTTAAGTGAACATTATACTATTTTTTACTCAAATTGGTACATATTTCAACAACAAAATTAAATATTGTAGGACTCAGGTGACCGTTAAGGCCCATGGGCCTCTTGTTTTCGCATGTAGCTCATTTTTTTGTAAGATAAGTTATGCATCTACTTTTTGTTAAATGAATTTTTCTAAAGAAATACTACTCATCAAACGATCTGAGAAAATGGCTTCAAGCTTGTTTACCTAAGGTTGATACTCTGTAAATGTTGGGAGATATTTCAGAGCCACAGGTCTTGGTGTCATGTGACTTTTCATTATGATTGTATCACTACAGCTACAGCGTCCTACAGGTTGTTGCCAGAAATCACCCTACTACAACCAGTTGTCAATCATTTGGCAGAAAAGTTGAAAAATTGCTTCTCCCCAGGAGTTATAGAAATAAAAAAAGTTAACGGTGAGTGTTCATATAGATTCTACATTACTTTTATAATTTGTCTGGTGATTTTACATCTTCATAACAGGAAAGGTCAACTGACAATGATGTCAACAGATGGCCCACTTTCTAATTAGCCAACACTCTTAAGATATCCTGATCACATTATTCTGACAACAGACTTATCAGAGGTGTCCAGAGAGACACTGCAGAAAGGAAACAGTAGACAGTAGAAGTGATGCAGACAAATTGTGTCTCATCAATATATATTTTAATACAGGTATATGGAATCTATATATTTTAATACAGGTATATGGAATCTATATATTTTAATACAGCTATATGGAATCCATTTATTTTGAGCTTCATCGTGGTCCTGACTAATTTGACACTTTGTTGAACAGTAGGGTTTCTTTAGACTGTAAACTGTAAGAATGGAATACATTGATATTTATCCCCTCTTACAAAAGTTTCAGTGGAAAGTATATAGTGCTCTGTGTATATGTATGTGGACCCTTTGCCATCACTCTAGTGGCCCATTTTTAGGTCACCTGAGCTTTAGCTCAAGTGACCTATTGCTATCCGTTTTCGTCCGTCGTCGTCCGTCGTCCGTCGTCCGTTGACATTTTACATTTCAAACTTAAAGTCAAGTTCTGCTGGGCCGATTGAACTGAAAGTTGGTAGGAATGATCGCCTCATGGTCCTGACAAAGTGTTGTTATTTTTTTCCGGTCGATCAGAAATTAAATATGGCCGCAATNCATAGATGATTTTATCTCATTTCATCATAACCCAAATATAATTAAATACTAAAAGTTGTACAGCTTCTTACAAATGTTTTATGTACTATCAGATCCATACCGTGGGTAAAAATACCTCCAGTACTACNGAATCATGGTCCTGACAAAGTGTTGTTATTTTTCGGGTCAATCAGAAATACAATTTGGCTGCCATGGCCGCTATTTTGTAAATACCTATTTCAAACTTAAAAACAAGTTCTAATAGGCCGATCTCACTTAAAATCGGTCCAAGAATGATCAGCTCATGGTCCTGACAAAGTTAAGTTAACATTATACTTAACTATTTTTTACTCAAATTGGTACATATTTCAACAACAAAAATAAATACTGTAGGACTCAGGTGACCGTTAAGGCCCATGGGCCTCTTGTTTTTACTGATTTTCATGGAATTTCGGAGGTATTTTTTACCCTTGACATACATTAGACAATTTTGAATATGGGCATCAATGGTCAAAGGTCAAGGTCACTGATACTTTAAATAGAATGTTACTATCACACACCTTGTTATCACTCTAAAAGCTGCATTCCTTAACAGTTAAGTTTTCCTTTGACCCACTCTGAAAAGTTTGAATATAGGCATCATCAGTCAAAGATCAAGTCCACTGTTACTAAAAATAGAATATCACCATCACTCTCTTTGTTATTTATCACTTAGAACTGCGTTTTTAACAGATATTCATGCCTTGGACATATATTGGTCACATTCATTGTTCTCAATCTTGTGGATATATTTTGTTTTACAGGTTTTCATCATTCAAAAGGTCAATGTCACCATTACTAAAATAGAATTTACACAAAATGGCTTATAATAACTCTAGTGGCTGTATATTTTAACAGATTAACACACCAGTGAAATATGTATACCAGTACTACACATTAAAAAACTCAGTCAGTGAATTTTCCATTATACTTCTTTATACACATATCAGACAGCGTGTGTAGTGTATGTAAGAAGATTTGTATCACTTGTCATACCTTAATAAAACTGCAAATTAAGCGCAGTTATATCATTTCTGATTTTGAATAGCTGTTTTGTTTTTTTAGGTGTATTGACTATAGAAACAAAATTTCAGTGAAATTATGATGTATTCATTCATTGACAAATTGTAAAATATTGAGGAACCCACATTTTTATCTTGATGTTTACATTTTCCACAGGTCAGAACACAGCCGACGTAAAGTCTGCGCGACATGACACCTGCAGCAGGGAGGTGTTCCGCCATGACGACCTGAAGGACCTTGTCCGTTTGTCACGGGTCAGGGATCACTTTATCTGTAAGTCTGTTATTGTGGCAACCAATCATACTGTTTGTAAGGTGACCCTGAATTTATATACCTAACCCTACATTTTGTCTTTATATCCTGATTCATTTATTGGTATCTAGGATGTGATGAATAAATAGTACTCAGACAAACATTCATCCAAAATCTAGATGGTTAACTGGCTGCTTACATTCACTTATTACTGATGGGCATACATGCCAGAATTCTTGGAGACCAATCTGTGAGTTTTACAATCATTTTAAGGGAATTGAGGTGAAAATTTCTTTGCAAAAAGACTATCTTACTCAACAAAATTAATGAAATAAAGCACAAAATCTTTCAGTAAGAAACTTTGTTTTGACTTTGGCAGTTGTTTTTTTTGTATATATTGAATATGATTATATACATCTAATAGCACAAAGTTAGCAAAACAAAATATTACATAGTTGAGGTATACTGAAGAAGCAGATTTTATTTTAAATTTCGAAATTTAGTTGGACAGGCCACTTTTCACAGCAGCCACAGTACTACTGATGTAAAAATAAGGATAATAGTTGTCTATGTTCATTTACATTTGAACTTCTTGATAATGTAACAGAATGTTGAAACATGCATTTAACAAGAGGACAGAAATAATCAGCTGTGAAACTTAAAAGCTTAAAAGTGAAGACATTTGCTTGGAAGTAAAACTGGCCAAGTCCTCACAAGAATCTGACTAGAACAGTGCAGGCTGGTACTTTTCCAAGCATTTGTGGCCTACAAGGTTTCATTTGACTGAAGGGAGAATACTGTTGTAAGCTTAGAAATAAAATGTTTAACACGAGTTAGCTCCCTTCCCTTTATTTGTTAGTGTAACATTATAACCCTGTTGCTTTCAGTTTCGGTGGAGTCAACAGGAGTGCTGCCACCTGATATCTTGGTGACGGAAGCTGTGCGAGTATTGATGGGCAAGTGCCGAACGTTTCTGACAGAACTATCAGAGGCCTCAGGAGCAACTTAACTTCTATTGTTATATTGTTTTATATATGTGCAATTTAAAATATGAAAACTTATCTTTCATTTGCGTTTTCTTTGAATTAAATACAACCATCTCTAGAGTATAATTGTATGCACAGTTAGATTGCCTTAAGGATGTATGAAACCCATTTTAACATACATTTCATTCCTTAAGTGCTTCACACTAAGAAATTTGAGCATAATTAATTAATTCATCAATAACTGATGACCATTTAGAAAGATAGGCAAGAGCAGTGCTGTGGCTTATACCTCATATGGTGACTTTGAAGTTTTAATTTAAGATATTGTCCTTTGATCTATAATTGTAACTTTGACAGGGTGGATACAGATGTGTGTTTAAAATATTGCTTCAAATAATGTTCAGTGATTCAGATATTATGGTCCAGGCAATTGTTATGATTTGATATTTGACCCCTGACAAAGTCTGTGACCTTAGGAAATTGCACCTGTGTGTGGCACGTATCATACATCATGTGATGATACACTCGTGTGGAAACGTAATAGAATGTTCAATTCTGAATTCTTTCAATGACCTTGACCTTGGGGTACAAACTTACGTGCAATTTTATGACACAATTGTCATGATACTGTGAAGTTTACAGTTTATAAGTTATGGTCATTTGCATTGACCTTGACCTTGATTGTAATGATCTATGTGTGGTTGTGACGCATCATTTTACATGATATAAAAATCAACATCCAGGCTTGTTTGGACCGGTATTTTGGTGACTTGGCCTTTGATCCCTTGCAGTATACCTTGAAGTAAGGGACCTATAAGTCTTTTGATTAACTGTTTTGCCATCACAATTTATATGTCTACAATGTCTAAGAAGGGGCAGCATAACACAGTTTGACACATTCTACTGACCTCAAAAATTAAATTTGTCACGGCTGCAGATGGCGGGAGGCAGTTCACCAAAGGTACATCAAGTAATGTTTTGCAGTTCAGAGGTTAAGTTCTGGACAAAAGTTACAGACCTTTAATCCTTGGTTGACGTGTCATTCACCTTCGAATGAGTTAGATGTTTACGACATGCATTGCATGTATATAAAGTTGTGAGGTCCTGGCATGGGTAATGCAGTAACATTGATAATGGAAATTTAACCCTTAGGCTGCTACGCCCCGCAATAGTGGTTTCGAAAAGTCGGGCCATCAGTGCTATGCACCACAATAGTGGCGCGCGGTCTGTAGGTTTTTGATCAGTAAACAGGAAGTGTGAAAGCGGACTGTTGCTATACCAAACCTGAAAGCGTATAGTAGAAGGCTTCTGATTGGCTGTTTTGTCATTACTTTCGATATTCCCGGCAATGTACCCTAGTAATAATCTAAGTGTGCGAGAGAATTTCAAATCGGAAAAAACGTCATATAAATGGCGGACGTGTAGATTGAAGTGATGAATATGATGGTAAACATTTATTCTCCAGTGTCGCCTACGATGATAATAAAGGTTTTGAAGGGTTTGACATCGTTGATGTGGAAATACTTCGGTGTAACAGAATATGTAACTTTCCAATGAACGGCTTTGTGCCCTACTCAAACATGAAAATATCGGCGGACCGAGGCGCACATGTCGTCTGCAGCTGAGGCCGAATTGAACATTGACATTAATACGTTTTGAGCCGATTGATTTCTTCAAACCATTTATCGATGATTTAATCATAAACTAGACCGTAGCCAAGATATATATATATATGTTGACTGTGACAATAAATATATTGAATGACGACCTGAAACCTGTAGCAAATCACATGCAATTCTTGATCAAATACCTGACCTTTTTACCTGAGAATCTCCGTGTAAATGTACAGTGTCTTATGTCATAAATGAAGTTTATAATCTCTGTTATCATTTTCCAATCACATTTGCTGACAAAAACAGTTTTAAAATGATCTTTCTGGTGCTTAAATCCGATTAATTACAAGTTTCACCTTTTCTTACCTTTATTACCACCTGTACAGGTAAATACTGAAGCAACTTTAGAATCGAAAACGTTAATATAAACTAGAGACAATAACGAACAATTTTCCCACAACTTTCATTCACATATAACAAATATTTTTCAAGTTATGCACATTTGAAAAATTAAGTAAATTAATTTGTATTTCAATAATTAATTAAGCAGTGGCATCCCTTTACATAGAAATCAATGTAGCAGCCAAAGGGTTAATAACCTCTCCCTGACGTGTATTGTCATGTACAAACATTTATATATATAAGGTTTTATACAAGTTTTTACATAGATTTTACCTTTGACCAATTGCAGTGCACTCATGTTTGGTATTAAGACGTATGTGTAGCATGCCAAGTCCCTACCAGGATGTTTGGACTGATAAACCTGAGGGCTGATATTCTAGGTTGTCTAACTGAGGCAAGTATCTCACCACCAGAATATTAGGACTGATAAACCTGAGGGGTGATATTCTAGGTTGTCCAACTGAGGCAAGTATCTCACCACCAGGATATTAGGACTGATAAACCTGAGGGGTGATATTCTAGGTTGTCTAACTGAGGCAAGTATCTCACCACCAGGATGTTAGGACTGATAAACCTGATGGCTGATATTCTAGGTTGTGTAACTGAGGCAAGTATCTTAACACCAGGATATTAGGACTGATAAACCTGAGGGGAGATATTCTAGGTTGTCTAACTGAGGCAAGTATCTCACCACCAGGATGTTAGGACTGATGAACCTGATGGCTGATATTCTAGGTTGTCTAACTGAGGCAAGTATCTTGACACCAGGATATTAGGACTGATAAACCTGAGGGGTGATATTCTAGGTTGTGTAACTGAGGCAAGTATCTTAACGCCAGGATATTAGGACTGATAAACCTGAGGGGGGATATTCTAGGTTGTCTAACTGAGGCAAGTATCTCACCATAAGGATGTTGGGACTGATGAACCTGATGGCTGGTATTCTAGGTTGTCTAACTGAGGCAAGTATCTTAACACCAGGATATTAGGACTGATAAACATGAGGGCTGATATTCTAGGTTGTCCAACTGAGGCAAGTATCTCACCACCAGGATGTTGGGACTGATGAACCTGATGGCTGGTATTCTAGGTTGTCTAACTGAGGCAAGTATCTCACCACCAGGATGTTAGGACTGATAAACCTGAGGGCTGATATTCTAGGTTGTGTAACTGAGGCAAGTATCTCACCAACAGGATGTTGGGACTGATAAACCTGAGGGGTGATATTCTAGGTTGTCTAACTGCGGCAAGTATCTCACCACCAGGATGTTGGGACTGATAAACCTGAGGGGAGATATTCTAGGTTGTCTAACTGAGGCAAGTATCTCACCATAAGGATGTTGGGACTGATGAACCTGATGGCTGGTATTCTAGGTTGTCTAACTGAGGCAAGTATCTCACCACCAGGATAAAGATTCCCCATAGGGGATGATTCTTTTTCCTGCCTTCCTTAATACATTACTATATCTGAGAACAATGGTTTTCAGCATGTTAACCTGTGTTCACACCCTCATTATTACATAACCTGTCCTGTCGGAAGCTGATTGGGGTGTCATATATTTTATTCCTGTGACGTCAATGTATTGGTTCTATGTACTATATGTCACTCCCTAACATCAAAGAAATCATACTCTAGGGGCTGACAGAGGAACTCTAAACAGGTAAAACAGGATACAATTATGTTATTGGTGGAAGATACACATCTGTGAATTTCAGCGGATCATTAATTGACGCCTTGACAAGCAATAATTTGTGATTTTGCCATTGGTGAGCTATGACCATAAAGGTATGGACCCGTGTGTATCCATACATTGCAATGTCACAAAAGTGGAGGAAGGTTCCAAAGATGGTAAATGGCATTGTATGAACCCGAGTCTGGTGCCAGATGGTACATGGCATTGTATGAACCCGAGTCTGGTGCCAGATGGTACATAGCATTGTATGAACCAGAGTCTGGTGCCAGATGGAACATGGCATTGTATGAACCCAGGTCTGGTGCCAGATTCAATGTCGGCTTGTTTGGTTTGGTTTTATTTCATTTATTTAACATCCTATTCACAGCTACTGTCATTTAGGATCTCTGTCCAAATACTCTAATTTTTTTTCTCCAATATAAGCAGAAACCTACTCACAATTTCATCTTTGAAAACTGTAGACAGTTGGGCCAGGACACTTTTGTTGACCTGGTAGCTCAATCGGTTAGAGCGATAGGATCACAATTTAAAGTCCAGGATTTGAACCGTCTTGCCCCGCTGAAGTTTTGCAATCAAAACCGGTTTTAATGAAAGCGTTCTCATGCTCAAGCTCAGATGCTGTACTCAAGCCAAATTTCTTGTTCCAGTGATAAATTTCCACAATTTATCAAAGATCTCACTAGAGAGACTGAAAGCCCCGTAATGTTTTCAATGTTTACACCTGACCTTTTTGGCCGTGTCACATGATTTAAGGGAGTTGCAAATTCATTTTGGTCACTGATATGACCCCTAGTAGAAGATGGACACTGATATGGCCCCTAGTAGAAGATGGTCACTGATATCTGATATGGCCCCTAGTAGAAGATGGTCACTGATATGGCCCCTAGTAGAAGATGGTCACTGATATGGCCCCTAGTAGAAGATGGTCACTGATATGGCCCCTAGTAGAAGATGGTCACTGATAT